AAAGACTTCCTTGACACAGGTTGAGTTTGTTCAGGTAACACTTGACAGCCATGTATCCTGTCAAGAGGCCTGTTATAATCCGCACTTTAGTCCTGCTAAGCATTAGCAGTTCTTTTTAGCGGTTTTAGAGCTATAGGTCCTTGGATAAAGCCCTTGCTGTGCCTGTTCCCCTGTCTGTTTCTCCAGTGGACATTCTGCTTTTTCCTGATCCAGAGTTTTAGTGCACTATGGGCCATACATTTGAGTATTTCCAGTACTGGCTCTGGACCAAGATAGGATGCCGACGATCCTTGCCTAGCTAACTCATCGGCTTTTTGGTTGCCTTGGATGCCGCTGTGTGCCGGGCCGTAGCTAACCTAACCTAACCTAACCCTAACATTTATTTAAAAACATTTATGTAACTAAATTTATGTAACTAATGTACACTACGTCTGTCCGTTTTGTAACTACGGGGTATCCGTGAGAGGGGAAACGATATTCTCTCGATGTTTTTCGTAAAAAATTAGACGACGCGTCCCATCAATAAAAATTCGACAAATTTGCATGTAGCCAATAAAATGAGTGGGCGGAGCGATTTGCGGTAACGTACTCGTCAAGTCGACGTATAAAATATATTGCTGTTTATTTAAATATTTTTTGTCCGCATTCCTTTCATAGACACAGATCCAGCAGACGTACTGTAATTATTTGTTATAATATTATAGTCTCTTACTGTGAATCAAAGATTCTGTAAAATAACCCCACTATAACACGGCTATTACACATATATAGAGAATGATTTTCTCTCATTTACGTATGCAGCCGGATGGATGAATTGAGCTACAGGTTGCCGGATGCCGGATAAAGTTGTAGTAGGTTAAAGCTATAGCCACAAATGTAGGCGTTCATACTAAGACTTGCCAGAGTTAGTCTGCGGTTTAATTATAATATTTGCATGATCTTGCAGCATGGCATGGAAGATATAGCCACTCAGGTCATTGAGTGTATATTTGTATTAATATGGACCAGTTTTGCAATATCCAGTTTGTGTTACTATTAATTTCAGATTTAATCCCTAAGATTGTATATGTTATGCATATATAGTACGATCAAAAATTTTATATTCAGACCTGATTTAGCTAGTTAGTTCAAAAGTTATTTAAAAAACAAATTAATTTTCTAATACAATTTTTTCTGTCTTCATAAAGTATACTGCCTTTGTCTGGAAATACAACCTCTCTAATAATACCAGTTATTTATATTTTATGGCATATATCAATATCAAATGGCGATTAGAATAATTTACTACGAAAACATTACATTCGATTTGCACAAATAATTACATGGATAAGGAAACAGATCAATTTTTCGATTTATATACGATAGTATCGACTAGATAAATATTTTAATATTTTATCAACTTAATAAATAAAGAACGAAGACTTGACGCAGATCATATCCATAATTTATTATTCCACATACATTTCTTATTTATTAGATTTATTATTAGTTCACCCACTTTGCTTCAAATATTTGAAATAAATTATTTTTATCTTTTTTTAATATTTATGTACCCAAATTTATTTGTATAATTTATAAGAGATGAGCATAGAAATATGTTTCTCTAGGGGAAGAAGTTGCATAATGGAATGGCAAAATGTGACAAATATTTAGCAGGTCTCCAATAAGGTTGTTAGATCAAATACGATCAAGTTAAATTTATAAGTGGTCTCACATACCCAAAGACATCACATCAAACACGAGGTTAAGGATGCTTGGATCATACAATACAATCAACGTAGTAGTAGTTATTACCTTGTTTCGAAATTTGTAGAACTGAAAGTGAGTGATCTGTATTTTTTTCTTTGCAGATTTATTACTAGTAATACACTGTGCGTAGCATTACCAAATAGACAGGAACGAACATAAACACACAGTTTATTTTAATAAAGTTGAGAGGAACCGCCTATACAAAAATAAACATATTTCTTTAAATTTAAAGTATTCATTAATAAGAGTGTCTTATTAATAAATAAAATTATTGATTTTTAAAATATTATTCGTAAACTAGGGAGAGGGAAATCAGGCAACGAACAGAGATGATAAGTGTTAGGTAATAACTTTTAGACTACCATTCGAGACGCATTGATGTTATTTCGGTTATTGTGGCAAAGAATGTTATTAAAGGTAAAGGAAATGTTTCCTCATTAAACTAGTGTTAACTAAAGCATCTATTTTATTTTCCTGTTGAAATATTATGTGCTCAAGCTTTTCCTTATTTATTTAATCTGACAAAGACATTGTATAACATGTGTATGTGTTTAATGGATTCGATTTATGTTGTGAATAATATCTAGTTTAAAAATAAATATAAAGACAACCGTTTACTGTCCATTCGTGCCGATGTTTTGGTTCAGTATGACTTAGTGTGACAATAATGGGTCTGGTTGAGTGTTCTAATATTTTCCAACCGTGCCTGGACGTATATCTTAGCACACAAATGAACAGTCAAAACAAAAGAATGGTATAACTCATAGTCTAAAGATATTGGTACCAAATACGAACTATAGCTGAGTAGCCTCTTAAATCCAGGGACTTCAGATCCTGCAGGTGGGACCTGCTAACTAACAAAACCTCTTCAGTTGTGAATGTTTTAAGTGTGCTAAACCTCACAGCTTGTTATGAGGACAGTTTTTGTATTATTATTTCTCTTTTAGTAAAGTTCAGAACCTGGGATTCCTTATAATAGTAATCAAGGTTTTCTCTGCCGTGCTTTTTTACTTGTGAATTCCAGGCAGATTACGGCACTCCTTTCATTTTATTTAATAAAATAAGTAGGGATTTTTACAAATTTAGCGTTTGATTTACATAACCTATTCCCCTCAAATTTTCCTAATATTGCTTCTGTCGAGCGCATCCGAAGTAAGTCACAATAAAAAATATTTTTAACATAACGTTAATGGTTCCTTTATTTCCTAAGTTACTCCTTGAAGATGGTTCCTTAGTCCTAGGTTTCCTAGTTTTAATTCTTTGTTATAGAGTTGTCCAAAACATTAATTATTCAACTTTGTTGAACGAGCCTGGGTTGTTATAGGTACTACAAAGTACAATAAGTTTTCTAGTTTTGACTGCAGAGATTTACATACGAGTAACCTAACCTAACCTAACGGAAAAGAATCCATGATTTATGTAAACTGTTAGGTAAACATACACCACACTGGACCAAATAGGTAATAAAATATTCATTAGATTTAAAGTCTAATTTTAAAAATCTGCACCAGTTTCCCATGATATACTAGTCAGCGTTGTAAAATGTTATCATTTTACCTGCCCATAAAAACACTCGATGCTGTATGCCAGACGGAGTGTATTGGATGGCACCGACATCAACAAAGATATGTTTACTTTTAATTTCATTGTGTGCTTTTTGTTCACTTTTTTATAAAATGGACTGTTGAATAAAATAGCATATAAAATGAACTTATAGTTATATATAATACATTATAGTTTAAAAAAAAATATATTTTTATTTAGTTAGATACAAGTTTATGGATTATATGTTGAAAATGAACAAATAGAATATAAAACTACATAAAATAAGAAAAATTACGACACATATTCCACATACATATATTGACTAACATTAGGAAGTCTTGATGCGGATTAAGCCTAGTTAATTAATATTAAATCGTGTTTCCTAATTCCGTTCTATCAGTTTTTTAATTATATATTAAAATTGTCTATTAATTTGCACAAAATATTATTTTCAGGCCAAGTTGTTTCCTACATTAATTACGGAATTACAGACATTATTCATTATTAGAATGGTCACTGACGGAATCTGTGACCATTCTAATAATGAACACTAAACAACTAAACTCCCAGTTGATGACATACCAAGAGTGTATAACTTTGAAAAACACCTTCTTATTAGAATGGTTCTTTCATTTATGGAAATATCAATCTGTCAAGATCTCTTTCAGAAATAAATAGAATAACAGAACCAGACTTTTGATTACTAAACTTTTGATATTCACTAAAACAATACAATATTACTATTACTTACCCGTAATAGTGAAAAGTGTACACTGATTTCTTTGAACATGTTTTTCTAACGGGTAAAAACTCCATTTTTCACTAGTTTCTTACAGGCTCATCCTTTGGACAAAGTATAATAAAGTTTTCCAGAACCACACACTATTTATCATTTTGTAAAATTTTTCAATACTTATTGTTTCTGTTATGATTAGTGCTCTTATCTTAGATAGGAACAATCGAAAACAGGAAATAGCCATATTATCCGATAGTCAAGCAGCACTAAATGCGATCAACTCAGTAACCATCAATTCGAAGTTAGACAAAGAAAATAAAATCCTCCTACTCTGGGTGCCCGCTCACCAAATGATAAAAGGCAATGAAAAAACAAATAATCTAGCCAGAAAAGGAGCAAACACTCCACTAACTGGACCAGAACTGTTCTGTTTTCCAAGCGGAAAGCAACTAAAGGCGGAACTGAGGAACCTGGAAGACTCCATTCGTAACCTGGAATGGGAGTCCAACAAAAAAACAATCTTCGGATTGTCACGGGGCTTCTAACAAGACACTGTCTCCCTCAGTAGGCTGAAGCTGAGGGACAACGGCGAATGCAGATTCTGTGGAGAAAATGGAGAAACATCAGAACACCTTATCACTAAGTACGCCGAGACGGCGACCGTTCGTGCCATGAACTTTGGTACGGCTGATGTCGAGGATGGAGAGCTGGCCTCGGCGGAGCCGTCTCAAACACTGACTTTTGATCTGAGTCTGTATGATGAGTTATAACTCAAGAAAAGGAGACATACAATAGATTTGTACTCACTCCCCCCCTAAACATTCTACATTCTATAATTAGTGTTAACTACTAATAAAAATTGTATTTTTTGCTTTTAAACCAAATTCAAAAGTAAGTTCTTGAAGCACTGCTAGCTTTATGGTTCATCTATCTATATATAAAAAACGGGTGACATTGATTGAAGCCTTGATTATGTATAAATAGATGTACAATGAGGGCTTAGTACAAGCCCGTCTTCTAGGTGGCGCCTTGCCCGTTCTGAATTTTTGTATTCCCCTACGATTTTCTTTGAGGGGAATCCGTTAAACCCGCCCATCGTTCAAAAATGGAAGGGCGCGAGGTCACATCTATTGGGCCACTTATTAGCACGTTTCACCCATGTTTTACGAAAATAGCTTTATCCTTGTTTGTTTCAACTGTGACAAGAAAAAAGGAAAAAAAGTTATATTCGCTTCTAAATTCGGCAGATCAACAAAGATCAACAAAAGATCTTTCTCGACTTGTAATTTCGTTTCGTTTAGGTTATGTCTTATAAAAATAAATATTTATAAGCTTTTGAATTGAAATATACCTTAATGCATATCTGAGTAATTAAAAAATTCAGTTTTTTCGTCCCTCGCGAAGAAACATAAACAGTATTTGTGAAATTTGGATTAGAAACTATTATTTTATTAGTTTATTTTGTTGTGTTTAAGTGTTGTGTATTTGTACCTACTGGATAATATTTTCCAACATATTTAATTAAGCAAAAAGCATCTGTTTTACAGGTAAGTAAATACTGTTCATATTTATTTCTAAATTGATATAAATTTGTTTTAAATCACTCTTGGGAAAAATGTTATAGAGTCTGAGATAAGTTTAATAATAAACATTTGATAGATTGATAGATAGATTAAACGATAATGCCCAGTTTGCTTAAAAGTTTAAAAAAATACTGATTTTATGCTATAAATTGTTTCATTTCTCACTCTGCTTTTTTGGAATTGTCAGATATATTGTGTATTTTATAATTTTTCCGAGAATTTTTCTTAATAACTTGATAACGTAAAATATTGTTTATATTGTTATGAGCAAAGGTTATGAGTTTGTGAAAAGAAAGGCTATATTTTGTATTTTTGCTTGGTGGATTTGTTATTAAATTGTCATTCCAAAAAATACCATAATGTCGTAGTCGTATAGAGTTCATTTTGACCAAAGAATATATTTTGACCCTTTTTGGATTGAATTTTATTGTTTATATAATAAAATATATATTTAAAGCCCTCTTTCTAAGTTAAGTTAAAAATAGGTAATATCGACGTTTTTACTGGAACTAATTTAAGTTAATAATTAATAATTATATAATTCATATAATTATATTAAAATAGACTAAATTGTTTATTATATACAGGATGAGTCAAAACTAGATATTATATTTTTCTTTGCTATTTCAAATGAAACACTGTATTTTATATCATAAATCAACAAAGCTTTTATGCAACTTTTGTTTTATTAAGATCTATATCCCAAATTAATAGTTATTAAATTGTTTTCAATTGTCTCTTTGCGAATAAACATGATTTTTTACGCAATTTTTATTAGTAGGTTTGTCGACAAAAGTGATGTATCTATTTATCAGCGACAAAAATTAAGAATTAGATGTTTAAAATAATTTTCTAATTATTTTTTACTTGGCATCAGTAAATATGATTTATTTTATCGATGCAGCTGAAAATAATTATGTATTCTAAAAGAGGACATTACTGTATATACATCGATTATAGATTTAAAATTATTTTTCAAAACAAAGTTGGAAAAATTTTTGAGAAAAAATTGGAGTTCTGTTCGAAATAATCGAGAAAAATCCAACATCTAGTTTTGACGCCCCTAGTATATATCATGCATTATAGTTGATTATACTGCAATTTATTATACATACGTAGTTTTGTTTGGTGAAAATGAAACTTTCTAAAAGTATTCCCAATTAAAACATATTAAGAATTTCCTACATTATAATTTTGAAGACGTTTGAGTGGGCAGACAATTTGGTCTAAAATAATATGTCTAAAAAATTTAGCCTAAAATAATCAAAAACCACTTAACACATATAACTCGCTTTTAAAAAATCTAAAAGAAATAAGTTTGTTTATTATATTCATATTTTATTAAATTATTATAGGTGTGACTGCTAAGTGGTCGTACTCGCCACTTTAACCAAGCATTGGTGGGACCTTCAGAGATCATAATGCGAATTTCTTCATACCATGTAAATCTATATACATGTATTAATAAATGCGTTTGCTTTATTAAATTTTTTTTCTTATACGGTATGAGCGAAAAAAAACGGCGTCTATTTGTTTACGTACAAATGACATCGATATTCATTTCCAAACCACCTCTGAGGCCGTTTTTTTTTATCGTATGGTATATATTTACATATCCCTTATCCTTTAATTCCGATTTATTTCTAATAATTATAAAAATAAGATACCTGATTAATTCTTCCGAAATATTATAAAATGAGATATCACGAAAGAAATAAAGTTAATTATCTCGTTTGTTTTGGGAATTCCAAAAAAATAAAAAAAAGGGTATAGAGAATCTTTAGAGACACAGTTCAAATGTTATTTTTGAGTATACTGGTTGCTTCAAAAAATGTGGCGGATACATGTTTTTTAATGCAAAACTCCATTTTTATTTTATTTTCGATTCTGCCTAAAATTCTATAACTTTTTTTTATAAATAACGTTAGTAAGTATTTACAATTTAAAAAAAAAGTAAAATTTTATTCCTATGTTACTTAACTGTCAGTTGTTTCCGAAGTTGGACTACACAAATTTGGTAGGAGTGTTTTACAGAGATGAAAAAAAAATATATTTATATGTAAAAATACTTGCAGTTAGATGCTACACTGTGTTCAAACATTTTTTTTGGCTGATCCGATATATATATTATTATTTTTTCTAGTGATTTTACAAAACCTTTCAACATTTGTTAAGAAAGTATATTAAGTACACCTATACTCAACAGCTTGCAATCTGTTCTGAATTTTATCCTTCTTTTAATTCATTTACATTATAACAAGTTGCCATATGACAAAACAAAAATTATTTATTATTAAACATTAAGTAAAGTGATTTATTTAGTTATATGACATTCTTAATAGAAGTTGAAGGATTTTGTAAAATCTATCAGAAAGAATTATAATATATCGGGTGTTTTTCAAAAGTAGCTTGATTGATGTATTCAATTAGTTTCGGTCATTTCTTGTTTCACCGGAAATGACTACAACTTTTGGTTTTTAAATGGTACCGTCGGTATTTTTTTACTTTATTTTGCAGAATATGGCATTCTCAATAGAATAATTCAATGTCAACTTTTGACTCTTTTACTTAAAAAATAGTATTTTAAAGTTCAATCTAGTAGAGTGCCATGATAATAAACAACATGTAACCGGTCGTAAAGATAACGACAGTTTGACTCGACATACGGAGTGTGTGGTACCAAATTATTTACCAAAATTAGGTACCAAAATTTATTAGGTATCAAAAAATGCTTTTCCAAATATGCTAATGAGCCACTCTCGTTTCATTAAAAAAAATTGAGTTATGATTAAAATACGAAATGGGCATATTTCAACTGACCAGGAAAAGACACAAAAAATATTAGACGACCAAATCAATTTTTCCAAAGCTCCTTGATTAATCCTTGATTAAAAAATAATGGTTTTAACACAGCCATGACACTAGATTGAATTTTAAAATGCTATTTTTGATTTAATTGAAAATGTCAAAAGTTGACATATGATTGTTGATGTCAAAAGTTGTCATTCTATTCAGAATGTCATTTTCTATCAAATAAAGTACCGTATGATCGAATAAAAACGGCGTCAGCAATGGCTATGAAATGAAAAGCGCTGTCATTTTATATGTAAATTTATATGAGAAATGTCATCGATGTTCATTTCATAGCCATCGCTGACGCCGTTTTTATTCGATCTTACGGTATAAAAAATACCGAGGGTACCATTTAAAAATCAAATGTATACATTTCCGGTGAAACAGGAAGTGACCGAAACTAACTGAATACGAATCAATCTCGATTTATGTCATATACCTACTAACATTCCCAATTTAGTTTTTTTCTCGGAATCTGAAAAAATAAAAAAGTTATAGAGGTGAACCACTTTAAAAAAAAACACTCAGTATAGGCTGTGTCATTGAAAGAGTCTGCAGATATTTTTTTAATTTTAAATACGTAGAATTAACCATTAATATATGTTGAACACCCTGTAGCATCTGCCTTAAATATCTACATAGTATCTAATATTTTTTCTTCATCAACAAATTGAAATATTAGAAAACTAGTTTTAGGTTACACCATTATACAAGGATTATACATAAAAAAGTAATAATTTTACGCAGGATCTAAAATAAAATAGGATGTTACATTTAAAAAAAAACATTATGTTAAATCCGTCATACTTTTCAAAGTTACAGAGGTACTAGTAGGTATAGTTTCATATATTTTTTAATTATCCATCTAGAAATAAAATATATATATACCTAATATAATAATTTAGTATTTAACAAGGGGCCATGAAAATCAAAATAAATATAAATCCATATCCAAAAATAAAAATGTAAATAACGCTTTGAGGTAAAAATTCGGTTCAAAGCAGATAAGATATTTTATTCTTTACGGAGAATTAAATTCGAAGAATTCCTAGTCCCTACTTCTTTGCCAAATTCAATAGTCTCCGCCCCTTTTTACGTTTTAATTTCTGCCACCAGTTGGCAGCATCGACTTATACAGGCACATTGACTAACTATTAATATATAAACAAGGATTGAAGCAAAGAAACTTTTTTTATAACACTGTCTGTTGGCGCTCGCTAATTTTTTCCACTTTCCCTGCCAATTTTTAATAAAAGAAAACGTAGTGCCGTCCTAAATTCACATTCGCTTGAGTAACAGGATTCACTAGACCCGTTTATAATTGATTGCTATTTTCTGCAACACGATTTTCTAAAAATATGTCAAGAAAATTATTATAAATAACACAAGAATGGTTATAATTAGCGAACATCTGTTATTTTTGCAGTAACGCTGCTCTTATATTAACTGCTCAGTTACAATGTACGTAGTTTGCAGTAATTTACAGTTATTACTAGTTGTAAATACATCAAGAAGACTTTTAGTAATTTGTAAATAAGCCACAGAATATTAAATAGAATAGACAAATTGCAATATTCTCGTCTGTTTGAAAATCTCAAGGATTTGAATTACAAGCAATAAGTAAAAATATTCAGTCAGTTTATTTGAAAATAAAAGAAATGGCAACGGTATAATAGACCTGTCTGTAAGAAATATCTAAAGGATTTTCGAAATAATTAAATTAAGATATTTTTAAATAGTTTCTTCTTTATGCATCTTATTTTTTGCATGGTATGTTTCATTCCAAAATTTTATTTACTAATTTTCAGATTTAATGAATTGTAATTTTTATCTATTTTTTTTCTTCCAAGTATTTTTAGTGATTCCAATGAAATTTTAAAGGTAAAAGTTATTATAAGAGCTACATATTTGAATGCTAAAAAAGTGTCGATAAATTCATCAGAGACGTGCATATGGGATATGATATCACTGGAGTATTTTTCAAAAAAAATCATGTGCGCTACTGATTTTTTCTTTTGATATCAAAATTGCGTAGTCCGTTTAATGTCAATTAAAAGTTATCTCTTGATATTTTGTCGAATTCGGACTCCTTGATGAGATAAACGCAATTTTATTAATCACAATTAATAAAATTAAAATAAAAACAAAATTAATAAATTATATATTTTGCCTAATTTATTATTATATATTATTACTATTAGTTATTATTATTATTAATCCAATCTACAGCAATTTCAAATAAAAAAATAATGGTATTTAAAATAATTACAAAAAACTTAATTTTAAAAAGATTTAACATCCTGTAACTCTAAAACTATGCATTTCCATACCCATGTTTATAGGAACTTTTTTTCATATTTTTTAATCAGGAATTAATGGGTATTTGGTAGTGTGGAAATGTGTGCATATTATAATTTTTTTTTTATTATAGAGTTTTTTCTACTTTTGAAATCGCCATATCTCAGGAATGGTGGTTCGTAAGAAAAAAGTTTAAAAACCATTATTGTAGAAAATTTAATGGTCTACAACATTTGTTTAAGGTACTTTTGCGATAGCGCTTACCGTTTAGGAGAAAAAAAGCAAAAAACATATTTCTGACCTTTGACCTTAAATAATTTTTTTAGCAGACGTGGGAGCGGAGGGGACTTTTCAGATATCATTTATAATAATGTATTTAAGACTTGTACCAATTTTCAGCTCTATGCGAATTATTGTTATTTAACCCCCTTTTTTTGTTTATTTTGACTGGGGTAATAGTGTAATCGCCATTAGTTAACGTCAACCTTTCATCATAAAGCCCATATCTAGTGTTTTCACATAACGTTAACGTCACTGATTAGTCTAAGGGGATCTCCACATTTCGTATTAACTGCAGGGCAGATGCAAACAAGCAAACAGTCGGTAACAGATTCGGTGCAATAAAGCAAATTGGCCGTAATTTATTTCACGCCAGTTTGCTATTGTGATCGCGTTCCGAGCAATTTGTTTATACCGACCTATAAGGACAAGTCCCAGTTTATTTACATTGATAGGTTCCTGATTAATTTTGTTGTATTCAAAAACTGTTTGAAAAAAACTATCTAAGTACTCGTTATTTTATATTTTCTCATACTTAAGGAACTATACAGGGTGAGTTTCCTACGATGTTCTCTATAGGTATCTCGGAAACTTCTGGAGATAGAGAGTCGATTAAATGTGGAAAGAATTGCAGTTTTGAGGGGTCATAAATATGCTCCTTTCAAATTTTTGAAAAAGTTCATGGCTTACTAGATATTTCGAAAAAAACAAATTTAGGCTATTTTAAAAATTGTCCCTAATTCCATTATAATCTATTTTAGACAAAAAGTTTTCAGATAAAAGTTATAAACAATCACACCCCTAATAAGCTTGTGTTCTCCTATTTTTTCTAAAGCCTGTCATTTTTGACATTATGTTTTTTTAAATGGAAACCATAATCGGGCAGGACTTCATAAAAAGCGCCATTTTTTAAGCTTCTCAGCGAAACATATAGCTTATAAGTTTTTTTTTCAAAAAATTACGGAGTTATAGCCAATTCTTATCTTTCTTGACTAATTTCCCTTAGTTGGCATGGTGTTCTTATGTTGTTATGATTTATAACTTATAAAAAG